GACCTTAAATATCATCTAGTTCCACTTCCCCCTGCCATGTCCTCATCTTTCACAGTAACTGAGCAACCCACACTCACTTTCTCAAATAAATCATGGTTTTAATAGATTATTCGTGGTGAAACTGGTGGGAATGCTCCAAAGAATTACACAGAAAAAGTATCAAAATGCCCTACTTAGCAGCAACACTAGGGGGTACGATTGGGAAAATTTATGTAATTGGGGAAAAGGAAGTAGAAAGTTAAGAAGCAAAGTACACAAAAATTTACCAGCTTTCTTGGTATTATTTAAATCCCAGGGGACAGATGAAGAAACTACAGACTATTTTTTTTTTCTATTATCTAAAGCAGCAGTGAGTTCTTCTACAAAACACAACTTTAACAACTCAAAGTCTGAACCATATTTAAAGAAATTAGAATACATGCAGCAATAATTGCTGAGTGTAAGACTATCAAAGATGCTTGCTTAATAAATAATATTTATTTTATTGTGGAAGACTGTTTGAAGATTTGTAAGAATAAATCAGGAGAGTAAGAGTAAAAAAGAAACAGGAGAAGTGGTGCCTTCAATGCCTTGAGCTACCTACTAAAAGGCTGCTATAAATTTATCAACAAACATATTTCAATACTATTGCAGCAGAGTTCCAAAATTTTTTTTAAAAAGATTACAACTTAATTTTTTGAATTATTTCCCACTGTTTAAAAAGTAATATTCACATTTAAAATACAAACTGAAGAAAAAAATGTTAAAGATTCATAACAAGTTTAACAAGCTTAAGTTTTCCTCCCAGTAGTTATTTTACTAAATCAAAAAGACATTGTTTATTTATGTCAGCTCCTCTACCACTTTTCAAGGAGACTGAAACACAAGTGAAAAATACAGATACCAAATACTACAAACTATTACTGACTACTGACAATGAGAGAACCTGTGGAAAAAGGAGTTTGTTTCTGCTTTTACCTTCCAATTTGCTAGATGAGAAGACATGACTGTTCAAAGAAGTAAACTGCATTCTACATAATTTGACATAAGTTTATTCCACAGTGAATTTTTAATTTAATCTCCTATCACCAACCTGTATTTAAACCAAAGACATTTACATTTTTACTGAAAGTACAGATGGGTGCAAACCTTTCCCTTTAAAATGCAAAGTCTTCAAATAGTTCTATCCCATTATTTTTTCTCAATAACAAGTAGGCTTACCCTCAATTCTCTAACCATGAATAGCCCAGTTTCTACAATATCTACTTATCTATTTAAACACTTTGCATACTGACTGTGGCTTGATGCTTTGGTGAAGAAGGAGAGGACTCATTTTCAGGAAAACTGGCCTTAGAAGCAGTTGATGATTCCTAGAAAATTCAAATAGGCAACATAAGTTACTATCTTTCTTACAATTTTTTTTTTAACCCTCAAGATACTTTTTTCCCCTCTTTCTCTCCCTATACACACTCACACATTACAAAAAGCACTTTTTAAAGCATTCATTAAATTCTTAGATAGATATATTATAAACCTGCTTAATAAACAGTGTTCTTACAAGATTTACAGACAACACGCAAACTGGGTTAATTAGCACATATCCATTTGAAAAAAATGGTAATACATACTGTATCAGCTTAAAGCAAATCTTTCATCCTTATTAGAGGGGCAAGTTTTTTGTATGACATTGCTATCAAATTATGAAGCACATTTATAACACTAACTTATTACAAGGCATCATATAAGAAATACCAAGATTTTTAAAGAACAGAGTACGTCTCTATGTGGTTAGTAAATAAAAGACGAGTACAATAAATTATTATACATGTAGAAAAGCATATACCAGCTCTATTAATTTTTGTGAGTCATGATCATTGATTTCCTTTTGATCAAGCACTGAAAATCTCTATAGATTCAGGTTTTTGCTTTAAACTAAACGTTAACTACGGATCAAAAGAAGAAAGTACTAAATCTCTGAAAACTAGAAAAATTGCCCATCTGGAACAAAAAAAGGCACGTGTGTTTCCTCTGAAGTAACAATTGCTTTGCACAAATACACCGCTTGAAAATCTGGTAAAGAATTTTAAATAGAAGAAAAATGTCACTTGTTCTCTGCTACTGTTAACACTTTTCTCCGCCTCCCTCGTTTTAATTCCCTTGATAGCTCTCCCAAATTCAGTTTGCTTTTCTAGCATTACATAATACTCTGCACACCTGTGCTTTAAAATTCACTTGTAAATCTACCTACAGAAGTGGCCCACTAGTTCTTTTAGTAGTGTAATAACAGAAAACATTAGAATCCTAAGAATAGCCTAAATGTTCCATATTTTCAGATGCCCACAGGGGGAAGGAAAAAAAAAGTTGAAATTATGAAGATTAACATTGTCCCTCCCAGGAAAATATTTTTTCCTCCACTTACCAAATTTTTTAGCTGATGGCTATATAGAGATATGTGCCACAGCCAATAAACAGTTAACAAGTACATCTGATATCATCAAATTCCCTTCAGCCATGGCAACCCATACTTTCACTCTGACACATTTCAAGCACTCTCTTGACTGGCCTATTTTCATAGAATCAAGTTGGTTGCTTTTCCAGGAAAAACAAATAGGATAAATAAGAAAATAGCTTCCCCAGGAGTCAGCCAAAAAGCTAACTTTGGGTTGATGTGCCTATCCAGCTAAATACCAGTTGTTTTTCTATTTCATTCTGAATTTGCGATAGCTTTCATATACTAAGTAACTCTGGAACAAGAAATCCAGTATTTGTGATGATGAACTATTTTTTTTCCACATATTAATTTAAAGCAGAATATATAAAAGCATGCCTGCAAGTCATAATAGAACAGGTGCATCAGTGCACTAAACAAATTTTGTCTTTCCACAAAATACTAGTTTATTGCTCTACTTTAATCTTCTCAAAACATTAACATTATCCTTTTTATGAATGATGCAGTCTCCTTACTATTAAAAAAATGCATGCTGCCTGCATGTTTTGAAGCTGTTAAAGGAACTTTAAACTACTGACTTAGACTTTACAAATGTGGGTCATATATACAGTTTCTTTTGGTTATTATACTAGGCATTTGTACACTTTCATGTTTGCTTCACTAGGTTTAAGGTCTTTGAACACCGAGTCTTGAAGTAAACAGCTCCACTTAACCAATGTTCTGTAAGAGCTTCTTCATTCAGTGCAGCACTACACAAAGGTTGTTCCAAAAGAGAAGTAAATCTTGTGCCAAAAAATAAACAGGTAAGTCTTCCTTTAAAAGTAAGGCCAAGACTAAGTTCTCTCCAACAGAATTGTTTATACATGTGAAGTGTAAACTGCACATTAGGATAGAAATGTCCACTCAGCTTTGTTTTATCACAACTCCATCTAGGCTGCCTCATGCAGTGCCACAACACCACAACATCCTCAGTACAGAAAGATGCATAAGGAGGAGTAGGGAGAGGAAAGGAGCAGTAGAGGGACCTCAGAACTGCTCAAGCTAAACCAATGCATACAGGTACAAAGGCTCCAGCATGGTCACCCACTGCCTCCTCAACACCACATATGATATTCTCTGAACTGACAGCTGAAAAGCTTAAGATCAAATCCAATAAATCCTATTCTGAGGAACTAAATCAACACATGACAACCCACTCTCCTATATTCCATTACAACAAAGCCATTAAAATGTACTGGAAACAACAGGTCAAGTATGTAACATTCTGGGCATCGGATCCAGTTGCATTACAACTACTGTGTTTTGTCCATTTAAGTTTGTCTTTGACATCTGTGATTACAAAGCCCTATATAGCAGCTTTTCTCCATGCTCCCAAATCTACATTCATTTGATTTTCCCTGTATCTTTACAAAGAGGGAGCTTACGATGCTGTTTCCTGGCATCTCATTCCAAGCAGTCAGTGCTAAGATTTCAGCATTACAAGTTGTTTCCATGAATCTCAGGATGGACTGCTGCAAAGTTACAGAAACCAGGCAAGTCACCACCCTACAACATCCACTTCAGTTTCTCTCCGCTCTGCTCACATCAGCTCTCCTCACCCACATGCAGAATGTCCCAGCACAAGCAGAAATGGCTGGGACAAAAATCAAACCAGAGAGCAACAGGCAGAGGGAGAGCAAGGGAGAGGCTCTGTCTCCTTGTTGGCTTAAACAGCACCTGGTACTGCACAGCCCAAAACAGACCACCAAGAACATGCCCTACCAACAGGCAGAAAACAGCTTTTGTTGTTACGGACACGCAGCTCTTCTCAGATTAAACCCCCAACTCAGCCCTGGAGGGGATCAAAGCCAAGACTTTCAGCACTGTCCTCTGTCTTCCAATAACAATATTACAAAATACACATGTATGTACAAAAGTAAAACTTTTCCTCTGTATTTGAGATATTACAGTGGAGATCAACAGAACAGTCATTAAAGGGATAAATCCACTACATAATACTACTACTTCTGTCTTTAAAGCGTCATTTTTACTTTAGCAAGTTTATTTCAATGCTATGAATATTTCAACTATTCATCTCCAGTCTTTCAAGTGTATTCCTACTCGGTGTTTCCTACAATTAAAACATTCAGGCATGAAATATCACTATATCTTACATGAGAAACTCATCTGCATCCATAATTCTTGAACTGAAACCCTGCTTATACTCCACAGCCTAAACTGAATTGGGAGATTCCCAGTTATAAGTACAATGGCTGAACAGGTCAAACCCTCAACTAGCACTAGGTGAAATACTTCAAGGACAACAAAAAAAAGAGCTACTACTCGCAAAGTAACAGTAGTAAATTTATCAAAAAGCCCTTGGTTTCACTGAATGTTACACACAATGATACAACAGGATATAATAAAAATGAGACTTCAGAGATTCATGCATACTCATTTCTGTTAGATTAAATACTTCATACATCAGAAACAGTTGGCATTCCAGCATGCTGTTTAGCTTGCTCCTACCTTATCATTGGTGTCCAAAACAATTGTGCTGTGCCTCCATTTTGTTAAAACTATTGGTTCTTGTAGCCTCCTGTCCAGACTCCTACTCTTTATTATATCTCGCTGCTGCTGTGGTGAAGCATTATACTAAAGAAGAGAGAAATCAAACTATAAGTACAATCTAATTCATGCAAACAAGACTTGGACATACCATTCATACACTTTAACAGTGAAGATTTTCCAATTCCTGATGTCACCCAAGGGCATGAAAATAGCCTTAGTTTTATTTTGCATTTAGTCTTCAGAACTACCCTTTCTGCCACAGTCCTCTCTGAAGCAGTAACTAAGAGTGGCCTGTTGGGACAACACTCTCCACAAGCAGACAAGAAGCTTGACCTCAAATGTACAAGTGTAACAGCTTACTACTGGTTTTGCAATTAGCCAACATATTGAGACCCTCCAAGCAATCAGAATAAATACAAAGATTTAAACATTCATTCTTCATATGGCACTGACCACCTGTCCACCTCTTGTGTAAGAAAAGGAAAACTCTACTACCCTGCAGTAAGGCATTTAAATTGAGTTATGATTGCCTGGATACAATTGTCTTTGACCCAGAAGTTTAGGATACCTCGGAGAGAGGACATGAGGGTGAGGACTTACTTTTTCTGAATAATCATATCAAATGACTTATAAAAGGATTTTCTGGTGTGGAATGTATGTAAGCACCAAAAGTAACTATTTAGCCGGAAATAATTTTTAGATTCAGCAGAGTTGTAATAGGCAAGGCGAGAATGAGTTTATCATAACATAGGTTCTTCTAATAACTCAAGAGCATACAAAGAGGTACAGGCTGAGAAAATGTGAAGGCCATGAGAACGACCCAGCATTTTAGATCTCAGCATTGCAGCACACTTATCATTAGTAGCATTGCCATTTCAAATCATCACCACCAACACTAAGGTAGCATCGTAAGGAATTATAAAAATATTTAAAACAATGTTTAATACTGAAAATACAATCAAGAAAAGACAACATCAATGTATGGGGTTTTAAGTCATTAAAAATATCATTCTTTCTATTTAACATCAGAAGACTAAAATCTGCACATAGAAAGAAACATAAGGCAACATTTGCAAAGTTATGTAAAGGACTAGAACCCAGTGGGTGAGAAGTAACAAAGGAAAGTCAAGTGACCTTTCATTTAAAAAGGCTAAAGCAATAATCTTTGCAAGCACACCAAATTCTACAGTTTTGCTACTGATTCCTACTGTAAGCTCAGAGCCTCAGGTCTTCAAAGATAGAATAACCTATACCTACACATACCCACGAAGCACAGCAAGGTTTAACCTAAATATAAATGCTGTATTTAAGCTAAATTGCATAACACGGTTACATTTATTGCCCAAATTGCGGTTACGTTTATTGCTCAAATAAAGAACCAGCATTACTGCCACCATGGCAGGCACTAAGGTTGTGTTAGCTTTGTATTTTATAATGAAAAGAATTCATAGTCTAATAAATCAACAGATGCTCAAAAGGTAAATAACTTCAGCATTTCATTAAGTTATTTCAATCTGCACAAGAGTAGTAAAATACTCCCAAGTGAGTGGACCTTGCAGTACCAAGAGTAAAATTTGCTAGTTCATGTACAGACAGAAATGTATCGGTTGTCACTGCAGAAATTAACTTCTGAGACTGCACTGACTGCATCGAGTTCCGCACATGTACATTCACATGACATCTGCTACGTTACAATGGTGAGGTTCAAGCAACTCTCGGTTTGTCCCCTCGTTAAATCAAAAGTTGAACCATCATTCATGCTGCAAGGAATCCAATACTAGCTTACCTTCTTGTTCTGGAAATATCAGCTCTGCAGATCCTCCTACAACTCCAACTGTGCTTACTCCAGTAAGCTAAATATTATGCCCCAAAATTGCCCACTCGTATTACAACTAAAATCTAAACAATTTTCAGTGAAACTATGTCTAAATCGCAGGAGGTTGCCACAAACACTGCTCCTTGCAGCAGTTCTAATGCATTTACAGGGGCAATTCAAATACATTTCTTGCTATGTGCAATGAAACAGTACTGGTTATTTCAGAAATAGCTATACACTTCAGTGACACTGGTGACATTTATGGAAAACATCCATGCACTTTCCATTTGACTAACTCAAGAATTTAAGTTTAAACAGTCAAAGATTTATTTTAAAGTCATTTATCTTGATTTTAAGTTTATGTTAAGAGTTATATGGGCACAAGCCCAATTATAGGTAATCCATATTTAAAAGATGCCTTTGATACATCACAAGCCATCAGGAGTTAGTTTATCTAAAAGATAGTCCCATCTTGAAGGGGAAAGACCTCTAAAGTCATATGAAATTCTAGTTTTACAGAACATAAGTAACAAGAAAGCAAAGCAACGGTATATGGAGCTCATTAACAAAGCACTGCTAACAACTCAGGAACACTGAGCTATATGCATCTTAGCAGCTTAAATAATTTGCAGTGGTGATACAGTGTCAGTAAACTGACAAGTCTTTAAAGGGAACATTTGACATTTTCACTCCATTTTCTCACAACAGAGGCATCAAGTAACCATTTTTCAGTCAAGTGTTTATGGTGGGTTTGGGTTTTTGTTTGTTTTATTAATCACAAGTCGTAGAACACACTACTAAGGGGAAAAAAGAAAAAGCTTACGTATTTCTGGGCTCAAGACAAGCCTCCACTTTTAAAATAAGTGGATTGATCTGTGATCCCCTAAGAGAAGCACAGTGAGATACTGTTTCAGACTCTGCACTATCCAGCAGATATCTGGTCATCCTCCAGATCAGGTAGGGTCCACTGACTAAAGAGAAGTAGCCAGAGCTAGTAGCTTAGCCAGGTCAGACGACACCATCCTGGCTACTCTTTGGTTTGCCCTCATCCGGTCTGCTTAGTTCAAAAAGCCTTGCAGGAACAGTTTCAGGCCAGATTCACTTACTTCTTAGGGTGCGATGTTATTTTCTTAATTCTAAAGCTTTTGATAATGTATCAGCACACAACTTCAAATATACACACTACTGCTTCTTGAAAATCCTCCACAAACTCAGATTCGTCCCATTACATTAGCACCTCCAGCACATCACCTCAGTTTGTTCCCAAAGGAGGACATGAGCAAGTCGTTCGTACTCTGACTGCATGCACCAAGTAACACAGACTTCTTGTTATAACAGCTCTTGGTGTAGGGTAAGGACACCAGTGGTGTCAACTTAGGTCCACATTTTTCATTGCTGAATTTGTTCAATGCCTTTGCCAGCTACTGAAAAGCTTTCTTTGCCTCTATATAAAAATTTCTAACACTCTCAACTGGTTGAGTGATTCATATTTAATTTTAACTTGATACACAGCATGGCCTAATTGTGACCGAAATAAACGTAACACCCCTGAATTATTTGTAGCAGTTGTGCCCATTCTTATAGAGATGACACAGATATGTCAGTTTTAAGAAACAGAAAAAAGATTCTTCTTGGTTTGCGTTAACATCCTCAGCCAGTTGAAAGGAATTGGGTGGGTGAAGGGAGAAAAGAGTGGGAAGCAACAGGGAAAGACAGTAAAGATCCAATGTTAAGCATTTTACTCTATTTTCTTGCAATCAGAGATTAAAACAGCAGCATTTTAAAATATTCTGAAATCCAAGCACCCCTTTAGCATCTTATACACTCTACCATTTTATTTGCATTTGTCCCAGTACACTGTCTGAAATCAAAGATTTTTTTAAAAAACATTTTAAATGTTGCCTCAGAACAAAACTACTCTTTAGTGCTACTGCTGTCGTTGGCTTTGAATAAACTTTTTTGGTGCTGTGATAGACTTAACACCTATGTTACAGCTTTTGTTTTTCTTATCAACTAAATCAATAACACGTTTTCCTTAAACCTACATATATTAAAAAAACCTATAATTTTTGTCTTTTTAAGGACTTCATCCCTATCCCTTCCCTTTCTTTCTTTAGGG